GCTTGCTCATCCACACTGACCTCGTTTGAGCTCTGTTTAGTTTATTTGTTGCTGGATGCTACATACCAACCCTTACAGGGACCATTTGACATTATAAACATTCAGTTTATTGACTTTAGATGTCACTGCTTCCTAACAGACCTGTTCAAAAATATCACAACAGGGTTACGCCATTAAAGGGTGAATGCCCCGCTGACTGCCCTCTTATTTTTGGAGCTTTGGAAGTTTGATGTCCCCCCACCCCCCCACCCCCGCTCACCTCAATGTTGATGGAGATATGCATCAATTTAAGAAAATATCTTTTATGTTACTATAGTTTTAAGCTTGCCCATTTTATGCTTTTTTTCATAGTTATTTTGCAAGGGTTTTGGTTTTACTGATGTAGGGGAGCTTAAGCCTAAGAATTTTCTCTCTAGTTTTATAGGTATAACATTGTAACTTTTATAGGCTTAAGTACTATTATAATCAACATAATTTAAATCAATGCTACTAGGGGTACATAAGACTTATTTGTGTGAAAAGACTATCTGGGATACTTCTGTTGCACTTCTGAATGCATCATACAGCATTCTTCTTAAATATTTAGCCTATATTTAAAACTGGTTTGCATTCCATGGCCATGTATCATCTATCGCATTTGCTATGTGGCCTGAGAAAGTCTGGAAAGTATTAAAAGCTCATCATGCATAATCATGAATTGACTGTATTCAATACCACTGCAGAAGAAAAGAGCTTTAGTGACATATTCAAGAATAGCAACATCACATTTTTTCTTCCCCATCTCTGTTGTCTTTTTAAGAAAATTCCACACACAGCATACATATTACATAAACATAGCTTCAACTTCCTTCCTATAAATCACTATTTCCAGACCTTCACTTCTAGACCAATTTGCTGACTTGAAGATATGTATTTCCACCATTCTACTAGACATTCCTACCTGAAAGTTCAACCAGTATTTCAAACCCATTCAACCTGAAATTCAATTCTTGTGCTCTTATTCTAGATCAATAATAATACTTCTAGTCTCTCAAACTCAAAACTTTGATGTTATCTTGCACTTCTTTCTTTTTTTCACCCTCACGTCAGTGGTCAGCAAGTTGGGCTAATTCTCTCTGTGCCTTGTGCCACTGTCTTAGTTTAGGCTTGCACCATCTCTCAGCTTGCAATAGCTGCCTGCTTAACGTCCCTGCCACCAACTACCTTCCATGGCAATCTGGCTTATAAAAGGAGGCACACAGATGATCTCATTGAGAGTCCCCACTTGACTTGCTTCTGTTTACATGGGTTTGGCTACTTCTGCCTTATTAGATTGTGAATTTATTGAAGGCAAGACCTCTGTCTCATTCATCCTTGTGTCTCAGTGTTTAGCAGAGTTTCCAGAACAAAACTGATACCCACTCCATGCTGAATGGGCACGAGGGAGTGGCTAGGAGTACAGGCTTTGGAATTAAACATATCTAGGTTTAATTTCTACCTCCCCTGCCACTTGCTGGGTGACCTTGGACAATTAACATTGTCAGTGATTCTCAATTCTGGATGCGCATTAGGATTACATAAGAAACTTATTAGAAGGGCCCAAATCCCCTCTTTGGTTCAATCAAATCAAAATATGTAGAGAATGGGGCTTAGGCACTAGAAATTTTAATAGATCTACGGGTGATCCTAACACACAGCTAGGGTTGAGAATTGCTACTGTCAGCCCTAAGTTCTCATCTACTTTTGGTATCTTTTTCAAAGGGATTTTGGGCATGTGAAATGAGAGTAAATCTAGCACTGTGCCTGACACACAGTTAGTGCTCAATCATGTTAAAATGGAACTTCAATTTGTAACTTTCTTCCTTCTCAATGGCTACCTCCAGCTATTCTGCCTTCCTTTAAATTTCTGGAATGCACAAGATTTTCCAGCTTTTGTGCCTTGATACTTGCTCTTCATCCTGCTTTAAGCAGACCTCTCTCAATCTTCAAGTCCTATTTCAAGTCACACAGTCTCCAGACATTTCCCTTTATTCTCCACCACAGTATGAAGATGCTCAATCTTTATAGCACTTGTCTTAATCTGTAATTTAATTCAACCATTTACTGGGTGTTTCCTCCACTAGACTATAAGCTAAGAACCTTCCCTGTTTTGTTCTTTTCCTAAAGTCCAGTGCCAAGTGCCCAGTATCTGCCAGTCGCTCAAATGATAATTGGATTAATAAATAAACCATCTTGAAATCTCAAAAGGGCAAAATTCCTTGAATTTTCATGTCCCTCATATCCCACATCGAAGCACTATGACAAAAACAAAAACCTAAAAAGTAGGATGGTCTCTACTGACTAGGAAGACTGCAATACTTTATTTTAACATCAATTGATGGATGTCTTTAATTTAGGTAAAGCTTCCAAGTCTAAGGTTCTTAGAAGCTTACTGAACAGCTTAGTCATCAACTCGTAGGCAATAATTAATGTGAGTTTAACAATATCTTGCTGCAAGAAGACCAATAAACTTTTGCATTAGTTAAGAAAAAGTTATTTTTTTCTAAATTACCTTTTGATTTGTTCTGTTGGGAGGCCACACAACATGTAAAATTAATGGGAAAAAAACATCCTCTGGTCACAGAACTATCAAATCAAATGATAGTTCTAATTACGAAAAGAACCTCAGGAATCATTTAAACTAATCCTTAATTTTATAGATGAAAAATGTGAGTTTATTATATATGATGACAAACACGCTGTCACAGAACCAGAATACAATCTAGGCTTCAAGAATCCTTCACTGGGTGGTGCTGTAGCTCAGTGGGTAGGGTGCCAGCCACATACACCAAGGCTGGCGGGTTCAAACCCAGACCAGGCCAGCTAAACAACAATGACAACTGCAACAAAAAAATAGCTGGGTGTTGTGGTGGGTGCCTGTAGTCCTAGCAACTTGGGAGGCTGAGGCTAGAGAATTGCTTAAGCCCAAGAGTTTGAGGTTGCTGTGAGCTGTGATGTCAGAGTAGAGACTGAGAGCAATGTAGTGAGACTCTGTCTCAAAAAAAAAAAAAAGAATGCTTTGGTGGGATTCCATTGACAAAAAACATTACACCAACTTCAAAGTAATTCAAAGTAGTTGCGATTTCTCAAAGTTCTTAATCTATTTATATTCTGGTATCAATTAATTTAAGATGTCAAGGTTTTTATAACAGAAATTTAGTCCAAATTCATGAGCTTGACATTTAGAACTCATGTTTCATTTACATCTTTTACATGGCAGGCTCTACAATCTGTTTCATGTTTTTCCAATTCAGCTCCAATCAGAATGCACATTTATCTGCATATTTATCCTCAATGCCCATTGAAAGACCAAACTTTTCATGCAAAGTGTCCTCATACCTAATTAAAGAAGACAATGGTCTTGTATTTTTCCTAAAGATGTACTCTGCCTTGTATTGCCATAGAAATGGCTGTACTGGATGTAAGAACCGGAAGAACTGGTGCTATGTGGCTCTTGCTTTTTTAGGTCAGGTCCCTCTTTGCAATAAATAGTGATATATGCCTCCATAGGCTAAATTTCTTCATGAGGATCTTCTTGAAGGTAATTTCTGATTGTACGAAAAAAAGTGGGTTGAGGTAAGCATAAGTGGGACATTAAAAACTCGTGTTGTTTTTTTAAAGAGAGCTATATGTTGGAAAATTCTGAAAAAATTCTTTTTTCTTTTAAAAATTTCTCATCCATTCTGTATAACTGGCCTAGATCTTTTTTACCGGTAGTGCACTAGTCAAAGTAAAGAAGCAAAGGAGTTCATCAACTGACACTCCTTTGCAAAACTGTCATGTAATTATTCTAGGCCCAATTGCATCTAAAAAGTCCAAGACTATTGTAACCTACACCCGCAATACATTTTTGGTTAAGCCAGCCCCCAAACCCAAAAGTTTATCTATGGAATAGCCTAGTAATGTAACACAATAAAGAAAGATTTTTGTCTTTTCCATTTCAGAATAGGAGACAACTCCTTATAATCAACGTCTTTTGACACTTACGTTATGGTTTGCTTATACATTGATAGCATAACTTTCATTCAAAACAAAAGTTCGCCTGTACAATCTCCAAAGATGCTTGGGTTGTTTAACGTTCTAAAAGTATGGTTTTAGATTCAACGGAAAATAATACTTCTGACAAATAAATGCTCATAAGGTTTTGTATTTCCTCTACTTTGGTGTAAACCTCTAAAGCCTTTTCTATGAAACAAGTGCCTCCCAAATCACGTTACCTGGTGGTCCTTGGGGAACGATTTTGAAGGAAAAGCTCCTAAAGCGCTGTCAAACAGAGAGGAACGATAAATATCAACTAAGCTCTTCCTACAGAAAAAGTTTTGACTTACTAGGGGAGGAAGAAGGGCAAGGATTTAAGCCGGGCAAAAGCACAATGATACTGGGAACCTGGTGGTCTGCCCTCCAAAGCCGTCAGCATCAGCCTCCCGCTCCGAAGGCAGCCCCTCTGTGTTGAGTGTGCAGGTGTCAGGGGGCGATTCCCTAACTCCGCCCACAGTTTGGGCGTCCTTTACAACCCTCGACTCCCTGGTCAGCAAATAACAGCTGATCCGGCAGCCTCGTGTCACCCGGCTTGCCCACGCCCACCGCCTGCAGCCAATTTCGCGCAGACCGGAAGCCCTTCTGCCCCGGCTCGCTGGCCCATTAGCCGGCGCTGGCAAGAACCGGAAGCCCTTCTGCCCTGATCCCCAGCGCGCGGTCGCGTTAGCCGCACAGGCGCAGTACCGCACAGGCGGAGTTGTGGGAGGGGAGGAGGAAGAGGCGGAGGGGTTACGGGGGCAGGTCCCAGAAGATGGCGGAGGCGGGGGTGAGTTGGGGGGTCAGCCGGGAGCCGAGGGTGATGTGGTGCTGAAGGAAGCGGCCTGAGGAAGGGGCTCGCCCTCGGGAAGAAGAACTACTTGTGTTTTTGCAGCCTGGGAACCCTGGTGGCAGTTGCGGGGAGCCAGGACCACAGATAGGCCTGCGGGGTGAGGGTCTCCGCTTACCTGAGAGGGGTCGGCGAGGTCCAGAACGGGACCTTGGTGTTGGGGACAGGTCATAGGAGAGGCCGAGGCTTTCGGATAGTGGAAGAATGTCTGAGTGGGAAGAAAGCTGAAGGACGGCGGGAAGGGCGACCCTGCAGGTCTGATGGGGTGGAGGTCGGCGAGCTGTCAAGCATATTGCTGCCAGAACTTGAGGGGCTCGTAGCCAGGGACACAAGCGTCAGTCCAGGGAGGGAGAAGGATCCAAAGAAGGTAGGTATCATGGGCAGGTTTAGAACTCACCCAAAAGATACGGCGTTGGGTGGAGGAGTGGGACTTGGCATTTTGGACTGTAATGAGAGCCCTTTGGAGTAGGTGTGTGGGTAAAGCCAAAGAGAACTCTTTCTTCGCCGGGACCTCGAAGTCGGCTGATAGTTAACTGAAATTTTAGGGCCGCTCGGTAGGAATTTGCAATATGGAGAAGGAAAGCAGTATGGATTATGGGGAAGGAGAGCGGAGAAGAGTGCTAACACTTAGGTGACAATGAACCATGTCCTGCTAACGAAGGAAAAAGTTGTTAAACTGTGGTGTTAACCAGGTACATAGTTGAGGCAGATAAACCGTGGCGAACTTACTGTTTTGTAGGATTGAGGAAGGAATGCTTTCAGAAAGAATGGCTCGGCTTGGCAGCCGGGCCACTGAAATTGGCTGGCATCTGTATCGCAGTAGAGCTGAAGACTGCAAGGGAAGACATGCCCCAGTCTTGGTGCAGAAAAAATAAAAGCGATCAAGCAGAGGCTAGATTGTGTTATCCACCTTTTAGGTTTAGCCCTGATGGTGAACCACTGAATAAAAATGAATGAAGGAAATACTCCCGTTAATGGGGTGCCCCAGACAAAATTTAGTCATGTACTCATCCTGTTTTCCTCTTGTTCTTTCTTTGGACTTTCTGTTTACTACTGTGTTTTGTCATAGTGTGTTATGTCTTAGTTCCTGTCTGTTGTAGTGACCAAACTGTGAGTCAAGTATATTTGGCAAAGAGGTTGCTTCTTTTTAAGCTGACAACTGTTGCTTTTTCAGATGGTCACACTGAGAAGGAAAAGATACAATGCAATTCAGTAATTTAAAAACAGCTCATTTTCATTGTTATCTGAAAATTATCCCCCAGACGGCTTAACAACTCTTTTAGGCACTGATATTTGACATTTAGAAGTGGTAATGGGATTTAAATTGCTCCTAGCTTAATTGTTTCTGTGTTTGGGTTTTAATGATGAGAGGAAAAAGGTGCAATGTCTTTAAGGCAAACGTTTTTTTCTCCCTAGAAGGTTTTAATGTCCCTGGCTGGTGATTCAAATGTGTATGCTTTTGTTTAAGGAGAATTAAACTGTTTCATTGATTTAAGTATCTTTTCTAATGGTAATGCTTACTTTATTTTGAGAATGTCATTTAATTAAGAGAGCAGGTGATGAACAAGATGTGAGGTGGTAATTTAACTATATTATTTATCTAACCTAAGCACCTGAAGAGACAATAATCTGAGGGCTCAAACATAGTTCGGTGACTGCTAATCATTGGAAGATGAGTGATTTTGTTGTTTGGTTTTAGGGGATATTGCAATTGTTAAAATGCAGTGTTTCTTAAGGTTACTGGAAGATTTTGTATGTGTGTTTGTTTTCAAATGCCTGTTGTCTGTTAAATTGTTTCAGTGGCCGGTGTAAACTTTGATTTTTCATTTGTAAAACTCATAATCACTTATAACCCCTTTTTATTTACTGGAAAGTAAAAGTATCAATCCATTAGTAGGCAGTCGTACACCTGTAATACTGTTTTCCCAGTATTTATTTATCATTTTTCAATTGCCATTGCTTGGTTTATTCGAACTATTTTTCTTTTTGATCAGTAATGTACTTTTCTAAACATTGAAGGTCAGGGCTCAAAGTTGAATTTTTCACCTATCTTGTGGAAAGGTAGAGAAGTTTTTCTTTGTGAATTATTAAAAACATTATTTTGGTATTAAGAGTGGTTTATCAATATGACTTTAAAAACTTTCTTGTGTTGGCACTTAGGTTGTTTTTGTATGGTATTTGTAGATGGAGAAAATGTGGTCAAGTAGAAAGAACTTTGGACATGGCATCAGAATGGTTGGGCCTAGTCCTGGTGCTGCCTGGTAACAGTTTTGTGATTTTAGAAAGTTACTGAACCTATTTTATTTTGTAAAATTGGGATTGAAAATACCTGCCTGATTACTAGAATTATTGTTGAGTACTATAGAGACATTGTCCTTTAAGCAGTGTTTTTATGCCAGAGAGATATTTCTTCCCTGGCCAGCAAATTATTTGTCAAGTGTTTTAAATTTTTCAAATGCAGATTTTTCTTAAATTTAGAGAATCAAATTTATCATTTATGTAGGAGAAATATTTAAAGATATAGGCACACTTTAAGAAAATGTCAATGCATAATAAGAAAAACAAACTTCAAAACAAACTTAAATTAGGGGATACTTATTCCTTAGAGTGTTCCGTTTAAAATAACCCCCTTCCCCAGTGTGTGACTAATACTATATATACATGTATTTTTTTGAATTTTGTTGTTGTGTAGTAGGGGGTAAAATAATTTGGGGGAATTTCCTATGCTTTGATGAGTCTGTTCATTTCAGCCATTAACTGTACATGTTCGTGGTAATAAGATCCAGTGGTACAGTCTTGATGTTGTCAATTTACTTGGTGAGTTTGCATCTCATTCACCTTATCTGTAACATGAAAGAAATGTTAGCACACTGTTTCTTAACTTCGGTAGAATAATGGGTTTTTTTTTTTTGAGTACTTAAAGTAAGTTGTGGAATTCTCTTTCCAGAAAAATGCACCCATACACAACTTTCTGTTTTATTTTGCATGATGCTCATAAATTCCTGGAATGGATGATCTTCCAGTTCCCTGCCATTTCTTTCTTTTTTTTTTCCTTTTTAAATTAAATCATAGTTATGTTCATTAATGCAATTATGGGGTACAATGTGCTGGTTTTATATACATTTTGAAATACTTTCATCAAACTGGTTAACATAGCCTTCACCGCATTTTCTTATTGTGTTAAGACATTTATGTTTTACACTTAGTAGATTTAACATGTATTTGTGTTTCCAGTAATTATATACTGTTGTATTATAATGTCACAAAATTAGCTTTTTGGACCTCATTTAAATAAACACCAAACAAGTGTTCTGTTATTTAAAAAAAAACTTTTGGGGTGAGGTAAGAAACTGCAAACAAGCATTTCCAGGAAAGGTTAGACCAACAGGTGTGGCAGAAAAATAGAAATAGTTTAGAAAGTCTCTTCAACCTTGAAATAGAATGTGGAAATAAAGTTCTACCCATCAGTGGGTTTCAGTCTCTAGCAATAAGTGCCTTCCCTGAGGGCGTTTGGAAATAAGGTGGGGACAATTTTGGTTAACACAAATGGAGGAGGGGATTTAGTGGGTGGGAGCTGGGAAGCTAAGTGTTTTGCAACGCTTAGGACAGTTTTACACAAGGAGGAATTGTCCTGCCTGACATTCTGATGCCCTTTGAGAAATGATGGCAAGTGTGGGGTGGTGGCTTACACAACTGAAATAGCTTTTTAAAACCAAAATTATTTTGGTCTTTTAAAAATATTATTAAATGTAAAAAGTGCTTTGCTATTCCGTTTTGGACAAATTTATAGACATAAACAAATGTTTTATTGGAGTAGTTTGGGTTACTCAAAACACATACCCGTCCTCTACGTGCTTTTGTTAGCAGCACAGTGGGGGATGGTTGCTGTGTCTACTAGGATTTGAGGAAATGAAGAGCCAACTATCAGTCTTATATCATGTGTAAGTTAGCCATTTTTTTACTTTAAAACATCTTTTTACATCTTAACCTAGTAGTTTTAAAGAAAATTTCAAGGTTATTTGTACATTTTTTCCTGTTATCTCTGTGCCATTATGCCATTGCCTACTTACATTGGCTTAGTATCGTAGAATATGCTCTAGAGTTAAAATGGGTTTTCAATGTCTGTACTTCTCTTCAGTAACCAGACACCTTTATGTAGACTTCATGCCAAGAAAGAAGTCTGAGTAATCTAAGTGGAATGAGACTTGAGGTATAGACACAAGCGTGTCTAACCTGAGGTCCGTGGGCTGCCTGCTGATTTTGAGGATGTTTTTTGCTTATCTGTGATGTTGGATAGCACAAAAAGTGTGCAGGGACCTTTTTTTTTCTAATTAGGTTTTGTTAATATTTTTGTATTTATTGTGTGGCCTAAGACAACACTTATTCTTCTAATGTACATCACAAAAGAAAAAAGGTTGAACACCCCGGAAAAGGAAAGGATAGATTAGACCTGAGGTAAAATTCTAGTTCTAATGCTACATGTCATGTGACCATAAGCAAGTAAATCTCTTTGATTTAGCAGCTTTCATCTGTAAAACGAGGAAGATCATTTCTATCTTTAGTATTATTTTGAAGATTAGAGTTACTTCTGATCTGTCATGGAGTAGGCCCCCCATAAATGGGTGCTCCTATCAATAGTGATGATAATGATGAAGAATTTTGTAGCTACTGAAACTTTATAAAAATGACCAGAACATGACACACTAATGTGTCTGGATATCACAGTGAAGACTAGTCTACAAGGGCCAGGTCAGGAGGAGATGTTTTCTGGGCATTTTCAGTTGGATTAGAGTCTATTTTCCTGTGAACCAGCTGTACAAAGTACTGTTTTTTCTAGTCCTCCAAGCCACAGAGCTTAGTTGTACTATAGACTAAATAAGTAGGTTTGTCAGCACTAGCTTGGGGACAGAATTCTCCTTGAGTGTTGGGCACAGAGCTTTGCATGTTTCAGAGGCTCAGTAAAGTCTATTAGTCTGTGTTTATCACATGGAACTGATAGGCTGTGACCGTTACTAAACATTCTCATTTTTAATAAATTACACTTGGGTTTTGTTCCAAAATTCATTTGTAAAGTAGTTTGAGAATTGGAAATCTAAGAGAAAATGTGTATATTTTAAATGATAATTAGGTGCTCTGTTTGCCTTCAGGAAGGCCTGCTTAACCCTATATAGCTTGATTAAGAAAGAGCTGACACAGTTTATTTGAACAAATGTGAAAACATGGAGCTGCCGTCATGGGCTAAGCAGAAACCTTTCAGTTTGCATAGGCATAATGGGTGATATAATAATGAATAAGACCTACATAAAAAGATTATAATCCATAAAGCAACTATACTTTTAATTATAAGGTAGCCATTATAAGTGCTAATCTAAGGTTTTAAATAAACTGCTTTGGGACTCGAAGGAAATATTATGTACTGGCTTGTGAGGATGCCCAAGATGTTTTGTTGCTGTGCGGGATAAAAGTAAATTACAAAAATAGTCTGTGCAGTATTTTCCCATTTAAAAACTGTCAGTATTCATAGAAAACATGTAAATGAATATGTGACATTGGGGAGGCTAAATCATGGTAAGAATGATGGTTTTGGAGTAGACTGCATGGATTTGAATCTTAGCTTGGCCTCTTACTCGGGGGTATGGAGGTGGTCACGTGACTTAACCTTTCTTTGCTGTTTTTGCCTCACCTGTAAAACAAACAACTGCATGTACTTAGGGTTGTTGGGAGAATTAAATGAGCTACCCACCACCTGTGAGGTCCTTGGCCCAGTACACAGAGAAGGCCTCCAGGCTTCGACATGCCCAGAGAAAAGATTGTTTTGGCAAAATGGGTGAACAAATACCTAGACTGATTATAGTAGCAAGGTTCTGGGTTTTAAGAGTCAGGGACCAAGTGGATAAAACTCCTTAGAATCTGGCCGTTAGGCTGCTTTTCATTCTCTTAGCATCCTTTCTTCTGCTTCTTCCTCTAGTTTTCTCACGGTTGCTCCCAGGATTGTCACAAGGACAGACTGAATTGAGGCAAGGGTGGGACATAGCTGTGGTGCTGGGGAGAGTGAGTCAGATCTGGCTGCTGTGGTTAGGGTAGGTGTACATGTGTGCTTGGTGGTCTGGTTTTTATAGAATGCTTTTGGGCAAAAATGTAAACATATAGATATTAGACATTAAAAGAGGTCATTTTGTTCTCTGCAGAGGTTGTTCTTATGACCAGATCACCTTCTGTTGTGAAAAAATACAATATCTTGAGTCAAAATATGTTGGTTTTCTGTAAAATAGAAAATACTCTTTTGTAACCCCTAGGCTTGAGATGTAGGGAGAACTGGGTTTGGTCTTCCAGATTTGGGTGGAAGTGTGTCAGATTATCTATTTCTCTATTTTCTGAGGTGGGGCAACCTGCTTTTACTATTATTCTAAATTTCAGATCTTTTTAGGTCACTTATTCTGTCCTAGTAAATGTTAACTGTAGCAGTTTTTTTTTTTATTACATCAGGTATATAAAAATACCTTTAAACCTTTTCTTATTTAGTGAATAGCAAATTTAAATAAATAAGTATATTGTCATTACATCACTTGACTTTAATATTAATTAGCTCTGAAATCAGGGAAATTGTAATAATTATATATTAGACATGTATTGATTTCTTTTTTCTTATTTCTTGCAGGATTTCTGGTAGGTCCTACTTTAGGACGAGATGTGATGGTACTGTTGAAACACGTTGATCTGCTTTGATTCACAGACAGTTGAGCTTTTCAGCTGGGAAGCCTTTTTTTTTTTTTAACAGCTTACTGAGCTTATGAAACCATGGCAGAAGGAAAGACAGATTCACCTGGTCCAAAGAAGTGTGGCCCGTATATCTCATCCGTCACTAGCCAGAGTGTGAACTTGATGATTCGAGGAGTAGTGCTTTTTTTTATTGGAGTATTTCTTGCATTAGTATTAAATTTACTTCAGATTCAAAGAAATGTGACACTCTTTCCACCTGATGTGATTGCAAGCATCTTTTCTTCTGCATGGTGGGTACCACCATGTTGTGGCACAGCTTCAGGTATGTGTAGGATGTTTCTGTAATATGTAGAAAGAAAACAGGGTAAATGAGTGTGGATATTGTCTAAGCAATAAACTTTTAAAAAATATCACCTTTATTGAAGTATAATTTAGATACAGTACAGTGGACCTGTTTTAAATGAACAACTTGATGTGTTTAGGCAAATGCATATAGTGATGTGGTCAGTGCTACAACTTAGCTATAGAACATTTCATCACTCCCCCAAATTTCTTTATGTCTTCTTGCAGTCCATTCCCCACCCTCAGCCTCAGCTACCACTGATCTAGGTTATGCTGCCATAGATTATTTCTGCCTATTCTAGAATGTAATACACATATAAATGGAGCCGTAGAATATGTACTCTTTTGTGTCTGGTTTCTGACTTATGAACTTTTAAAATTTAATTCTAAAAACAGTCCTTAGGGATGAAGCCTTTAAACTCTTTACTTTTGTCCTTTCTTCAACTTATCTCATCTAAGTTTTAGTTTAAGTTATTTAGCTGGTCATCACTGTGGTTTGAAGGATTTGATGTGTGCTCTGTGGTCTTGCTTTTAAAGTAGAGAACATGAAATAATGGAATAGTTTTATTCAAGTTCAAAACTTCATGTTATATTTTTTAGATTTTTGTATATGCTTTTTTTCCTTAGTATCTTGTTTATTTTTATTTATTTATTTATTTATTTATTTTGAGCTAGAGTGTTAATTGATCACCCTTGGTAGAGTGCTATGGCATTATAGCTCACAGCAACCTCAAACTCTTGGGCTCAAGCAATCCTCTTGTCTTAGCCTCCCTAATAGCTGGGACAATAGGTACCCACCACAACGCCCGGCTGTTTTTCTTTCCTTTTTTTTTTTTAAGAGACAGGGTCTTGCTCTGGCTCAGGCTGGTCTAGAACTCCTGAGCTCCTGCCTCAGCCTCTCAGAATGCTAGGATTACAGATGTGAGCCACCACATCTGGCTGTATCTTTTAAATGTACCTTAAGAATAGTAAGTATTTAAAGAGATCAATAAAGTAGCCTCTCTTTGCTTAAAATTGTTATTATCCTGTTATTTACTTTAACCTTTTTTGGGGGATGGATGTTGTATAATAGATAAAGCAGAGCATTTTAGAATGCTTTGTAGAAACCACACTTCCATGATGGATTGCTCTTTAGCTTTTTCTAATGACTGAGCTCAATAAATTAATACTATTTTATGTAACAAAACGGTGGAAGGAAGCTATAATCATGTGGTGGAAGATAATTCTGATTAAGAGAGGAAATTGCTTTTTTGATAGCCATTTGGTGTCCACCCTTAATGTGAATACCTTGCAACATAATGTAGGTACTTCTTAGCTTACATCCAAGAGCTGGAGGTCAAAGGGCAAATTTGAAGGGTGAGGTTGAAGTTATGAGATGTTTTAGAATAACCACATGAAAACTACTAAACAATTACATAATCTTGTTGCATGGATAAAAGGGCATTATTGTAGTATGGTTTCAGTGTCGTTTATGTGTTGATGTCTCAATATTACAGTATTAACATTAAAAGAGAAGTCATGAAGGTAGTGACTCCTAGGTTCCCTAGGGTTATCTCCTCCAAAAGAATAGGCAAAATAGTCTAAACAAAAAGAAGAAAGCATAAATTATATATTATCACTCTGCTGTATATGCTTTTGGTTCTTATGCATTTTCCTTTCTTTCGTTTAAACTCAGAAAAGAAAAATAAAGTTTTCTCAACAACTTTTTCTAGTTCTTTGTTTATTTTCTTCTATGGTTTAGTCTCTCCCTGGCTGCCGGTGGAAGGAAGCATTTGGGGACATGGAAGAACAGGTCTTTTCAGGATAAACAAAAGCAAGGTTAGAGAAGGGAGACTGTTGCTTATAGAATGTTTGCTAATATGCCAGGACCATCACTTAACCCCGGGGCTCTATTGGGCAACTTTGGGAGAGAGAGATTTGGCACCATGTCTGTTTTGGGGGGATGAGGACACAGAGATGTAGAAGTCAATGAGCTTAGAGTCTTTGAGCCAGTGAGTGGTAGGAGTGGGCTCAAATGTCACATGCTGGGGAAGGGGAAAGAGGGAACTACTTGTACTTCCCCTGCTCAGGATGCCTCTTTTCAAGCCTCTAGACAGGTGGCAGAGTGGGAGGGAATTCACTGGCATGCATTTTGTGTTTTGGGTCAGGGCAGTAGAACCTAACTTAGGTTTCATCGTATCTCCATTATGGAGAGAAAGGGGCTGCATCTGCCGCCTGATGCTTCTGCCTGTGTAATATGGGCACTTTTACCACAAACTTGTATTTTATGAAGGAAAATTTCAGATGCTAACATATACTACAGTTCAGCCACTTTGTCTCTACTTTCCTTCTCATTCTCAGCCACTAGGTTCATCACACAAACTTCATAGCTTTTCTTTTGGGGATTTGTATTCACATTTCTCGCTGAAGTATTTCTTCTGCAAGCAGTGTGTACCATAAGGAAGTAGAGCGGCATTAGGAAATCTAGATTCCAGTTAACTTTGCTACCAATTTTGTTGGGTAAGTCATGCGTTCAGTAGATGAGAGTGAAGATAGCAGATTTGTAAGAGTTGCCTAAGTTAGAAAATGGATTCTCGCGTGATCTTTGCTACTCCACGCCCCTCATCATCATTTTAGGGAAACTATCAAGGGAAAAAAAGTTAATGATGTAAGAAACAGTGGGTATGAGTTTGGGTGTGTATGTAGTGTGTGTATATTCTGTGTGTATGTGTTAGTATGCACTTTCAAAACCTTTCTATGTTCTGAACCATCTTAAATCAGAAAAAAACTGATAATTGTCCTGTGATTTTCCTCTCAGACCCATGTTCGTAGACTGAGCAAGTCCCCTTTGGAGGGCTCTGGAACCCGCACTTCCTGTGTGTAAACCAAAGGACTCCTGGGTATTTGCTGCCTTTTCCTAGAGCACAGTCCTGGAAAGTCTGCCATTGGTGCTTCTGGGGGGACGATTAGTCAAGAACGCTAGTAAACTTCTTTTGGTCTCATTTTCCTTTTCTTAATTTCCTGTTTTTAGTTTGATAATGCTGATGTTATAAGGCAACAATTCACTGGATTTGGAATTGGAAATCCCTTGAGCATTATTGGGGGCCACAAAGGAATCGAAAGAATAAACAGAAAAAAGACAAGCTATGTGGGTAAAGTCAGTAAAGAATTTGCCTCAAAAATCCCAGCTAGCCAGGTTATATCCAAAGCTGTGAAATTAATATCTAATTTGAAAAGAAATCTTTCCTGTTGAGCTGTTCAGTCAGTTACTGCGTTCACTCTCAGAGAGCCCTGTAAGCGTGCTGCCTTTCTCTCATCTTCCCACAGCCAGTTTCCGAATTCTGCATGTTTCCTCTGTCTCTTTCTTGGTCCAGGCCCTGGAGCATGGTGCTTGCAGTCTTTAGACTTTCTCTTTCTGCCTCTAATTTTGTACACACACCATCCCACCCCTTTGTGTTGCATACTCACTGCTTCTCTCACTGGTACAAAGGAGAAGATACTGTGTTCCAGATTGCCCAGTGTCTTCAGGGTAAGTCTCTATGATTATGGCCTTTGCCTGTGTTTCTCTTCTTCAGAGTCCTTCTGGACTGAAGCTTCCTCCTTTCATGCCTAAAGCTTACAGTTTTCTGGTAAGGCTGTTTTTAGTTGTCCATGCTTGTCCTCAAACACCTCCTTTTTTTTTTTTTTTGAGACAGAGCCTCAAGCTGTCCCCCTGGGTAGAGTGCTGTGGCATTACAGCTCACAGCAACCTCCAACTCCTGGGCTCAAGCGAGTCTCCTGCCTCCGCCTCCCAAGTAGCTGGGACCACAGGCACCCACCACAACGCCCGGCTATTTTTTGGTTGCAGCCGTCATTGTTGTTTGGCGGGTCCGGGCTGGGGATTTGAACCTGCCACCTTAGGTGTACGTGGCTGGCGCCTTAGCCGGTTGAGCTATAGGCGCCGAGCCCAAACACCTCCTTTTGCTGAGATAGCTGCTTCCACAGCATTGACTGCAGAATGTTTCTGCCCCAAGGGTCACTTCTTAGTAAAACTTTTCAGACAGCCCAGGACTGCCCCGCCCCCAGCACCTGCAGGAATACTGGGACTGCTCTGTGTCCTGTCAGCACTCCCCTAATGTAGGAGAATATTTAATTGTTTCTGTGGTCACTTTGCAACTGGAATCATGTCTGTCTGTCTTATCAAGTCCCTAGGAAATCCCAGGGACTACTTTCATTGTTAGGGCTTAAGTATTTGTTGAAGAAAAACATTATTCTTTCTCAGTTTTCTATGAAAGTATTTTTCACAGAAATATGAGTGATTTTGTTTTTTTAGTTCCCGTTTCCTTGAAAAATACCTGCTTTAAGCGTGTTCCCCTTAGTGCCTTACTGCATCAAGCACAGTCCCATGGAAAAGCCATAACCTACTATGGATGTTTTACAAGCTTCTGTGTCTAGTCTTGGTGGATTGTAATTAGTCACTGATAACCTAAAGATAACACAGGAAGTGCGATTTTGCATCAGAGAACCATCTGATCAAGCAGGACTGTGTTTGCATTTGATTTTACACAGGCATGATTTTAACAGTCTCTCTTGCTAATAGAAGTACAGGAGAGGAAAGGAATCCCAGACATGTGCTCCTGAGCTCTCAAACAGAAGAACCTCACAGTGCTGTATGTATTGCTGTCAGACTCTGCCATGCCTTTATTTAAAAGAAAGAAAGAAGATATTTAATGGGAAGTGACAAGCTCCCTGGAATTCTCTTTCTCAGTGAGCAACTGAGAACCATGCATACTCAATGGATTTGATTTTTACTGGCAAATCCCAAAGTTGGCAGAGTGGCAATTTAAATTCCTTTTTGTGTTTTTGCTTTCTCTCCTCAGTTGTCTCTCACTTACAAGTCTGATATCACATGCATCAAAAGATAATCAATTTTACTTATTTATGTCTTTGCACACACGTCAGTATTCTCTATGTGATAATTCTTTACCTTAGCATCAGCTGCTGTGCAAAATTGACTTGGAATGCCTGCTCTTAGTTGATTTTTACTCAACAACATAGAGGGAAGAGAGGGTAATGATAGATAAACTGTTAAGTTTGGTGACCCATTGAGAAGAAAAAAAGGTGATATTAGATACATTTCAACTGTTGGGCGTGCTTTTTGCCATTTTAATTGTGCAGAAATTTAAAAATGCTGTCAGTGCCACAGGATTTTATAGTCTTTTAAATAGGAATATAATGTGAAACTTTAAAATTTACTAATAACTGTTAGAGCTAAGCATTGCTGAGACACGTTGTTAATCTCTGGACGGTCTATACTCAGCACTCAAATGAGTTGTGGACTAGAAGATGCATACAGAATTGCAGCATCTTATCTCCAGATGGAAGGGTGGTCACATAGTCTCTTTAGAATGCTGCACCATTGGTCTGCTGGCCTGTGATTTTTGATATTAATTGGTTTCTGCTTTTCTTTGAAGACTGAATGCATCCCTTGTAGGAGACAGCCAGCCATACCAGGTGGGGGAAGGGGCTCCCAACCCTCAGACACTTAAATTTTGGTACAATAATTTCATGATACATCGTAGGTAGTATTGGATATCTGAAACATGATTTTTAACTGATCGGACATTAGCATCTTTATTACCAGAATGGCAGCATAATCATTTTGTCTTTAGGAAGATTAGACAATCAAAGCTGCCTAGCTATTTCCTGTTAAATTTAATCTGTGGAAATAAAATTTTCCTTATGATTTGCTGAAGAATGTTTTGGATCATTAAATGGTCTTTCTAATGACTAACTTAGCATTTAAAATCTTCTCCTACTACATGAATAAAATGTAGAGGTTTGACAGATATTTAAGTTAAGAATTGGATGACAATATTTTGGGACTTAATCATAAACATGTTGTATACAGCTATTTGTAATTAACTACAAATTAGCATTCAAGTTCTTTCTAAAATTAGGAGATAATACTAAGATGACTTCTTCTACCAGTGGGTTTAAACTTTAACTGAAAATTTATAATTTCTATAGACCTTGTTTCCTACATTTTTTCTATGTGCAGAATGAGTCTTATGTGTAGATTTCTGTTTCAAGTTTTCCTGCATTGATAGCATGACCTACAGTCTCATTAGAGGGCCTGGTTGGAAAGGAGGGGCAGGAAGAGAGGCTAGACGCAGAAGCTTGTAGGGGTGAGACTGATGTACCTAAGAGGCCAGCCAGAACTATTGGAACATTGTGTGTTGTACATTTGTTGCCTTTAATAGTGTATTTTATGGTTTTATAGCTTCGAGAATTTTGCTTCACTGCTAACTGGTTTCATGCTTTTTATGTCTCAGAGATAGCAGTAGTAGAAAAGCAGCATGAGTCACCTCCAGTCTGCTAAATTGTGAATCACACTTAAAGAGTGTTTTGTCTGTGATAATTTTAGAATATTGTTATAAGCGTTTACAATGCTTTCGGTGATGTCATCCTCATTTTCTTTTTCTTTTAGTAGATAAGGTTAAAAATATCAGTGATTGATGTTAAGTAACTTTTTTGTAAGGAATTTTTAAAATGCTTATGGTGGTTGTAGTGATTCTTTTTAACTTAACGTGTTGCCAGTATGGTGTTGGAGATGACTTAATTTTTTCTCTTTTTTTCCCCCCACAGCTGTGATTGGGTTATTATACCCCTGCATTGACAGGCATCTAGGAGAACCACATAAATTTAAAAGAGAGTGGTCCAGCGTAATGCGGTGTGTAGCCGTCTTTGTTGGTATAAATCATGCCAGTGCTGTATCCTTTAGCTGTAATGAAATGTATAATAACAAAGCAGCTTCCAACAAACCAAAGGTTAAGCAGCCCTTTGCAACTTCACTCTTGTCAAATTATGATATGCCCACTTAGTCATAAAAAGGATGTGAACTGTATTGTTCAAACATCAGGGTAGCAGCTATGCAATTATAGAGTGGTGAAGTATAGCCTCTCATTTAAACCCCTATTTTTTATTATGACTTAGAAACTTGTGCACATTAAAACAATTTACATGTTTGTCTTAAATTAGGTTACTTAATTACTTCCATATAGTTTGGGTAATCCTAAGATTGAAACAGGTACATTTTTGAAGAATTTTCTTTCTTCAATCAGAATTTGCCAATAAGCTTTTAAATTGTGTGATAATCCACTCTGCTTGTTAATTATCTGGGATAATGAAAGAGAAAGTCAAGAATGTAATTTGATTTCAAAATTAAGTCAACTGTTATAATAAATGGCTTTTTTATTAAAAAAAGTAAAATTTACCCTTAAGGACATGTAGTGGCTTCAGGTGCAATTTATTATTTGTTTTTTATGTCTCTTAATTTAAAAAAGCTATAATTTTTCTTTAAAGGCTCCATCACTTATTGCTTTTAATCAAAACCAGCAAATGACATTAAGTATTTTAAAAAATGGCATAAGTAGAAATATCCAACTTAGACTTTTGCCAGAAATAACAACTTTCCCCTAAGGTACACACATTTCATCATTTGAGGATCCAGACATTTTATTTAGTGATTGATGAATATGTTTATAGTGTCCTAGCTAGAAGGATGAGGTAGCTTCTGTTTCTCTCCCTGTGACTCCACCTCCACCCCAAGTGTCCATTCCTGGAGCAAAATTTTTCCTTCATGAGGTTTTTAATCCAGTTATCCTCCCTATTTCCTCTCCTCTACCTTCTCCCCACTCTTTCTGAATTTCCTGTGTAGAAGAGTATCTGGGAAATGCTACTCTTGCCTTCTTTTGTCAGAAGACGTGGTGTAGACAGTGAAGGGGGCAGGGGCCTTGGGAATTGGAGAGAGCATGAAGTGTGACTCAGGCTGCCGAAAGTTTGCTCTTATCACTTTGCACTGTTCTCAGGGCTGGCAGAGTTGGCTGGAGAGAGAGGGTGGGTTATATGGCAAGTACAGACCTGTGTCTTTCATACAGCGTATCCAGGTGTCTTGGAGAGGCTTGGGACAGAAACCACTGAAAGATGCCAGGTCGTATATCCTGAAAAACACAACTGCCTTCCGGTGCCTGTTTGTGCTGGCCCTTGCAGGGCTGTGAATGTAGAAGTCCTTTAGTGGCTGTTATTAATTTAGTTTTCCATTTCCTTTTGTATTAAAGGATTTTCTATCATCTTTATTTTAGTGAACTTTGTGAAATTTAAGATTTTATAAAAACAAATCTAGTGGTTAGTAGAGCTTAGAAAGATAAAATCATGGATTATTATATACAGAAGAGAACTTGGAAATCATCTACTTCTACTTTTCTTTGTAAAGATAAAAAGACAGATGAAAGCTGGAGAGGTTGGGTAATTTGCTGAGTCATTTATACTGCCAGTTTGCAGCAGAGCTGACCCCAGACTCCAGAGATCCTGAGTCAAGTGTAGGAGATCTACCCAGGAGTAGATAGACTCATTCTCTACCCGGGAGTCACATAAGAATGTAAATTTCTCTCTATCTGGTGGATCAGACCTTTCTATCCCAAACATTTCAGCTCTGTTTTTAAGTAGAGAAATTAAAATAGGCTTTTCTGAAATTTTAAAAACATTCCATATCTAGGTTAAATGCTTTGTTCACTCTTCTTTCTCTCTCAATGAACTACTTAAATATACCAGTCCTATCTGTTCTGTCTGTTCTGTAAGCAAAATGAAAAATGTTTACAAAAATGCATAGTATAGACTTTTACTATTAGGGTACATAGACTTTAAAAAGCAACACTGGAATACTTTTAAGATTTATATACATGTATTTTACCTGTTTACCCTGGAGGCCTCCTTAATTTTCTTTTGATGCTTTAGATTTTTAAGGAAGTTTAGTTAGCAGAGATAGAATGCAATTCCTATCAAATCACACTCTTTTGTGGATTGTTTAATGAGTAATTTATTTTCATTATAATTATCTTAACTATCATCATGCTTCTTCTGTGGATTGTATGGAGAAATTAGAGCTCCAAACCTTTTTTTTTTTTTTGGAGGTTAAGTATAATGATAACTAAAGAATAAGAAAGCTTTTTCCAGAAACCTATAGGTTTCTTGATAAATCAAGCCTAAACAAGGAATGATCTGGGGACCCACAAGTGCCCTCAAGTGCTGAGAAATAAACAAGCTGGGTGTTCAGGATACTGGTTGGGGTGGGGGAATGGTGGTGAACAAGGGGGTGTGAGAGGAAGCGGTAAATGGCTTTATATGCATATTTTGTTGACTTCTCTGTAGTTGTAGTACAGCCAGTTAGTTTGGTGAGATACGTGGTTCCTTCCCCCCACCTTGGGAGCTGGTTATAGAGCCAAGATGTGGCCTTTGGGATATAGATCATGCCCTTTCGATGACATTTGAAATTAATTCCTTTAGTGTAATCCTCTAGCAAAGAAATGAGAAAGTCAAATTTGTAATGCTTTGTTTTACCCTTCATTTTGTCCAGAAATTTTGGAGTAGGAAAGGGCCATACATTTGTGAATAGATATTTAAGTAGGTGACAGAAATAAAATATCATTTGAGCAAACTGTCCTATACCAAAAAGTCTCAGACACCAAAATAGCTTGGCAGGTTGCAAGATAATGTTCACTTCAAGGCTTTATCCTCAACAAATTAAAACTGGAACAGGTGACATAATAGAAAGGGATACTGTGTCCTTGGTACTCTTGTTTCTGAACTGCATTATTATAAAATGTGTCTGTCAGTAAATCATAGAGAGAATGTGGTGCCCTGTTAAATAGCTGTCATCTCTTCTATTTTCAAGTTTCTGTATGTTGTTCAAGTAATTCTAAACCTGTTTGAGAAGTAATATTAGTTTCCTTTTTCTCAAAATTGTGTTCCTTTAGTAACACTATTATAAGGCGTCTAGTTACGTTTTTAGCAAAGAAAGCATTTTTTAAAGTATGGGCCTGGCCTTGTAATTGGGAATTTATATAGACTGTTTTTTTTTTTTTTTTTTGAGGGGTTATAGGTTGGTAACATCTATTAATTCATATCACTTGGTATTTGGTATTCAGTAAATACCAGAGACAGTTTTAATTTCATTTAGTCTCATACATTGTATACATTGTGTTAAAAGACTATATACTCAAGTATAGGCAATTAATTCTCTTCTCAACAGTAACAGCTTTTATTTTAGGAAAATGAACAGCTTATATTTTCTGGTTTACAAGTTTTGACTCTTTAACACTGATCTCAGAAAGTGGATTTTGATAACAACATACAGTTGTCTCTTACCCTGGCTGCACTCTCCATTGGACTGTGGTGGACTTTTGATAGATCTAGAAGTGGTTTTGGCCTTGGAGTAGGAATTGCTTTCTTGGCAACTGTGGTCACTCAACTGCTAGTCTATAACGGTGTTTATCAGTGAGTATTAATCTTTTTAGTGCTTGTTTATTAGATAAATAATGATTAACTACATTCAGAATTGAGATTTTGAAGTTACATCCACCAGTTTAATGAGTAATTTATTTTCATTATAATTATCTTGTGTATCATCACGCTTCCTCTGTGGATTGTTAAAAATATTTCTATTATTCTAGATATACATCTCCAGATTTTCTCTATGTTCGTTCTTGGTTACCGTGTATATTTTTTGCTGGCGGCATAACAATGGGAAACATTGGTCGACAACTGGCAATGGTAAGCTAATGCTTATTTAATCACTTTTCTGTATGAGATATATGATAAGTTTTCTCTAAATGGCAGCCCTGTAGGGAAAGCAATTTGTGAAGTCAACATTCTTTTGTTTCTCTTTTGTATTTACATTGAAATAAATCATTTGGAAGAATTTAATTATAAATGTCTAAAAGTTGAGGAGCCACTGCAGAAAAAAGCCAAGTGTGTTATGGATAGCATGATACGATTTATCAACCATGGAGGATATTAGATTTCTTTTTTTTTTTTAATAATCTATAGGTTTATATCCCATTATATCAAAAAGGGATAGTTTTAAAAGTGAAAAGGGGGAGAATTAATAACTGTGTGGCTACTGGCAGGTATAAATTTGAATTGTCTCCAGAAAATTAAGACTTTTGATCATTTTAGTTATAAAGGAAAAGAAAAGAGCTACATTCATTCAGAGGCCACGACAGCTAGGAAAGTTGAGTGGTTTTCTTTGCTGGATGATTATTCTTAGAGGTAGGGTGTCTCTCTGTTGCCTTAGCTAGAATGGAATGGCATTGTCATGGCTCACTGCAACCTGAAACTCCTGGGCTCATGTGATCTGCCTGCCTCAGCCTCCCAAGTAGCTGAGAGTACAGGTGCAGCCGCTATACCTGGCTAATTTTTCTATTTTTTTTTTCTTTTGTAAAGATCAGGTCTTGCCTTGTTGCTATGGCTGGTCTCAAACTCCCTGCCTCGAATGATTCTCCCACCTCAGCCTCCCAAAGTGCTGGAATTATAGGTGTGAGCCACCATGCTCAGCCTTGCTGGTTTTTTTGTTTGTTTGTTTTGATAAACTAGTCACCCAATTATCTTAACACCACTGGTTTCTGATTTTGAATTGTGGTATGCATCTGTATAACTGTACTTTAAAAATACTGTTTTGACTGGAAGCTTTTACTAATGTGATGGATTTTTTTCCCCTTTAAATCACAATGATTCCAAGAAACAATGATTTAAATTTCCTATGTCAACTCTGTTCTTAAGTGCATGACCTGTCCCTTGCTGCTTAGCCTTACTGAGCACTCAAAGAAACCTTCTTAGCTCCTTCAATGGTATAGGATTGCTCTTTCATATACTGTTTTTATTTGCTCATAATGCAGAAACCTCATCTTTTTCCTGCTTATTGCCGTGGCTCTTTCAGTTCTAGAATATGAATTATCTTTTTCCCAATTCACATTTGTCATTTAGTGCTAGTTAATTGTGCAATTCTCAGATTCTTTGAGAAATAAAGTGGGCATATATTAATTAAGCATTAATTTTTAGAGCTTTTTAATTTATTTGGAAATTGCTGTTCAAAAGAAATCTTAATCTGTTAACCTTTTAATTTTTGCAGTATGAATGTAAAGTTATTGCAGAAAAATCTCATCAGGAATGAAGAAGGCAAAAAGTATCTTTTGAACAGAGTAACAAGATGAAAAAGACATGTAAATGATAGATATACCAACAGAACTTTGGACTGTAAAATTGCCAGGATGCAGTTTTTCTCCTTGATTGGTGTGTATATGTATGTATACACACGCATATATATATTACTGCAATCTGTGATTGCTTCATCTGTAAATCAGTTATAAACCTTTATGTATTTGACTTAAATAACTGTAAGATATATATGCACTACATTAAAAAGTTGATTAATAGATGAAATTTTTAAATTAATTTTTTAAACATACCATTCATTGTATCTCAATATTGATGTGCCAAAATATGCTGTTACTGTCATGCAGAGTATAAGAATGCTTTGAACAATTTATAAACTTAGTGAAATAAGAGGAAAGCCAAAAAGCCAAAAAAAAAAAAAAAAAAGCAAATGAGAAGCTGGTATTTTCTCTTTTACTTGCTGTTGTGCCTTTTATTTTTCTAATCGCAGCAGTATGAGTTATGAGTGTCCTAAGGTGTGGTTAGTTTCTATTTTACTGTGGTTTCATGGAGTTTTGAGTATGTAACATGGTAAAAAATGAACTACTGTACAATGATTTCAAACCTGCATTACTGGAGAGAGCCTAAAGAGTATTGTTTTTGCTTGTTTTATATTTTATTGGAAGTATATGTGATGAGCAGGAGAGGTTATCCGCGTTAAATTGTTTAGAGTCTAAATATGGAAGAGTCTATATAAGTAAAAGTAAGGACCACTAGGAAATTTAACTGGAATAAATATATGTTTTGGAAATACAAAGTGAACCTCCTATAGTGCCATAAAGTGTAAAGTGATATTAGCTGTCATTTGCAATGCAGGATCTCACTACTTGTGCACATGGAACATATAAGAAACTAACTGATCAAAATGAAATTTTTAATTTTGCTGGGTTTTAGAAAGCAAACCACTTTAGCTGGGCTCATATGACTGATTGTGAATGGAATGTCTGGATTTTCAACCTTATCATGTGTGGTCTGAGGAATGGATGGGTACAGAACTTCTTGTGTGTCCATATGACCATAGTGAGTAGTTCAAGACTATTTATGAATGACTTGTGATGGCATTCTGTGCATGTTAAAGATCTTGCAAATGGTTTGGGACATATTTTTTCCAATAACTAGCTTCATTCAAATATGGCTTAAATATATTCTTAGATAACTTTTTTTCCCTCAAGTTTTGCTTTTGATGACAATTATCTGATACATCAGGGGAAAATCTTCTGACTACTCTAAGGGTGTGTGTGTGCGTGCATGCACGTGTGTGTTGGAGTGAGTGAGAGAGAGGATGTGTATGTGCATGGGCCTATGCTTTCCTAGAATGTCACGTAGATATTTAAAATTTTTGGTTTTAAATGGTTGCTGTCAGACTGAGTCTTATATGCCAAACTTTAATCTGCTTTTATGTTTTCAGGCTGAAAATATGAAAATCCTAAGAGGATTTCATATGGAATATATATACACAACCTTAACTATCGTGGTGGAAAACATACTGCTGTAATTTATTATTCTATCTTCCAGATAATGGTATTCATTTAGAACAAAATAAGGTATATTTTTAGAATCAACTTTGTAAGCATTATAAAATCTTTAATAAGTCATAAGGTCTATAATGTGTTTGCTTTAAAAATTGCTGTTAAAAGCAAGATGTATTAAATACATAATTATACTCTTGGTTAAGAGTCTTTTTTTCTTCCTTGTGGTAAATTTTAGAATATAGAATACTATGGATTAGCCTAACAAAATTAACATATGTGATTGAATTTACCAATAAATGATGAAAAGAAGCTAATTACAATTGACCCTTGAAAAACGCAGGCATTGGCGTGCTGACCCCCCAATAGAGTCAAAAATTTATATCTAACTTTTGACTTTCCCAGAACTTACCTACTAATAGACTATTATTGATCATAAGCCTAAGGATGATATAAATAGTAAATTTAAAAGTATTTTATATGTTGTATGTATTATGTACTGTGTTCTTAAGCTAGAGAAAAGAAAATGTTATTTAAAGAATCATAAGAAAAAAATTACTATTCAGTTGTTCAGTAAGTGGAGATGGATCGTAATAAAGGTCTTCATTCTTGTCTTCTTCACGATGAGTAGGAGGAGATGGGGGAAGGGTCTTGCTGCCTCAAGGGTGGTACAGGTGGGCAACCTCACAGAACTCAAAACTGCGTGTTAGTGGACCCACACAATTCAAAACCATATTGTTCAAGGGTCAGCTGTATTTAGTGTTAGTGAGATTGAATGTTATTGGAGTTTTGATATTGTTTTGAGATCATCCAGGAAATAAGAAAAGATAATTATAGCAAAAAATATAATTGTTCTGGGTGATGCCTGTGGCTTAAGGAGTAGGATACTGGCCCCATATGCTGAGGGTGGCAGGTTCCAGCCCACCCCGGCCAAAACTGCAAAAACAAATATATATATATTTTTATATATATATAAAAAATTGTTATGATGTTTTGATAAATATATTTGTGCAATGAAAGATAGTGGTAAAAATTTTTGAACATTGCTATATTGGCAGTGCTTTTGTGCTTTTATTATTTAAGGTTATAGAAATTGGAACAATTGAAAATGGTACTAAATTCTACAAAAGCACAAAAGCCAACACCAATTAACTAGCCAGAGCCCTGCTAATGTTTTTGTTGTAAAATTTATTTTCACTGGGCTGTTTTACTTCCATTAAGGGTAAATCACCTAATGTCAGAGATGACAAGTTTGTCATTTATGTAATTTTGTTTTCTTTGTAGACAATGTCTTTTTGCTCCTGGAGATTTACATGACTTTTATCTGTAAGGGCTTTCAGTTTCAGTCTGATCTGGTTGGTTGCAGACTTGTTTTTATGTCTCTTGCTTGGCATTTGGTATGCACTTTCAATCTGAGTTCATTTTTTTCCCATTTCTTTTTTTTTTTTTTCTTTTTTTTATTGAACGGTAACTATGTACATTAATGCACTTCTGGGGTACAGTGTGGGGTTTTCACATGCAATCTGAAATACTTCCATCAACTGGCTGAGTTCATTTTTTTCAATTCTGAAAAGTCTTAAATGTGGCTGTACATTGGAATCACATGGGGAACTATAAAAAAAAGGCTGGTGCCTGGGTTATACCCGTAGACACTCTGATGTAGTTGGTATGGGAAATGCCCAGCCATTAGGATTTTAAGAATTTTCCCAGGTTGTTCTAATGTACAACCCACATTGCCAGTCACTGGTGTAGTTTGTGTAAAAATAAAGGGGTAGAGGCCGTATGAGATGGGTAGTGACACTGGAAATGGAGAATGAGGGACGTGTTTTGGAATCAAACCATCTGATCTTGGTGACTTGGGTGTGAAAATTAAAAAGAAGAGTCAAAGGTGACTTAATTTTTCTATCTTGGGAAACTAGGTGGATGATATTTTTATAAGCCAAAAGAGGATTGCAGAGGAGGAGGTGAATGGGTAATGTTAATGAGTTTGAGTTGGTATTTTGAGGTTGGGTTTTATAGGGTTCATCTGAGAAAATATTGTAAGCAAACGTTTGTGTATTTGAATCTGGGTTATCGGATGTAAGTGAGGGGAGTCATGAGCACGTGGCAGTAATAGAGGAAGGTATAGAGAACACCTAGGGAGCGAGTTATGATAAAAAGGGAAAGGTGAAGAAAGTCAAGGAGGTGTGGTCAGGGGTAGGAGGAAAACCGGAAGAGAAGAGTGGTGTGGGGGAAGCCACGACAGAGGGAGTTTTCAGCAAAGGGTAACTATGACGTTCAGTTAGAAGGATGAATAATCTTAGAGATAAAGGGGAAGATGATATTAGATTGGTTTATGTTGAAAATGCTTTTTCTAACTTGTTATATATACATATATATATATATATATTTTTTTTTTTTTTTTTTTTTGGCAGTTTTTGGCCAGGGCTGGGTTTGAACCCGCCACCAGCAAATGGGGCTGGCGCCCTACTCCTTTGAGCCACAGGCGCTGCCCAACCTGTTATATTTTAACACTTAAAATATTTCACTATATACTAATAAATTAGGTCACAAGATATTTCTAAGAATCTGATCATATAGTGGCTCTTTTACTGGAACCAGTGGGGGTGTGGGGAGTAGCTAGAGAACTTTGAAGGAATGTTGGAGATTTGGGTAACACCTATGAAGAATGGACATAGGAACAGACTAGAAATAAGGAATTGCCAGTTTTGAGGCCATTAAGGACCCATGAGGCTAGAGGTGAGATATATGAGTTTGAGATAACATAAAAATCAAGGAATGTAAAATCCATATAGACAGAAACAAATAGCTCTCCCGACACAGATAAGTCAAGCAAGTTGAAACTTGCACAGGTGAATCAGAAAGGATGCTGTTGACTGTGTCTCTTGGAAGAGAAATAATGGACCCTTTTTATTCTTCTAAAAGTCCTCTGTTAAAGAGATCTCTGACCTTTGTTTCTGTTTTCTGTTTACCTCTTAGCTTTACTCTTTGTTGTGCTGCATTCGAGAAGAATTATTTAACTGGTTATTCCAGCTCAGTGAGTTGCTCTTCAGTTGTATCTATTTAGTGTTCAGCCCATCAGTTGAGTTTTTAATTTCATTGATTGCAATTTTAATTTTTAAGATCTCTACTTTTTTTTTTTTTTTTTTTTTGTGGAGCTTTTGACTAGGGCTGGGTTTGAACCCGCCACCTCTGGCATATGGGGCCAGGGCCCTCCTCCTTTGAGCCACAGGTGCCGCCTCAGATCGCTACTTTTTTTAATGGCACTATATTGTCATTCTTTTATTTTCTGAGCATGTTCTTCTAAATTTCTGAATGCTTCCGAAGAGCCATTGCAGAGAAGGGCAGGATGAGTCTGCCACTAGCCTAGTGTGTTTGCTCTCTGATTTCCATGGGGTGCACTGCTGAGCTTGTTGGGACTTGGTGCCCACACCCACCACTCGCATCAGGGGCTGAATACTGTTTGTCTCTGCCTGGTCCAAGGTTTGTGAGTAAGAGAAGTGTGGAAGGATCAGCCAGCCTGGCTGCTTTCACAGAAGCCTGGTTGAACCCATCGGGTCAGTTGTCCTCAGCATTTCCAGCTCCAGGCATCGGCTGCCTCTGAGCTTATGACATCACGGTTTCATTTTTAGCAAGTCTTCTCGAATGTTTTGAGCCATGGTTTCCCTCCATCTAGCTGCTCTTCATTTTTTCTTGCTTTCAGAGATTGCCTGCAGTTTCTGGGTCATGGAGTATAAATCTTATTTTGTGGGATAGTTGTGGATTTCTTTTCTTTTTAAGGATATTTTCTTTTTTCTGTTTTGTTGTTTCTATGGATTTAGAGTGGAGGGAAGAAGCTATAGCTTGCCCAGTCTACTGATGAGATTCAACCTTCCCCACCACTTTTATACCACAAAATCATGCCATTTCCCTGATGATTTGTCTTTACATTTCAAAAGCTCAGTTTAGTTAGGAGCTGAGATAAATAGATTAAGTTGGTGGGTTTTTACTGAGTCTCAATAAAAATTGGGACATAGAGAGTTTTTTTCTTCTTGAAATAGGTATAATTCATTCCGTTCATTGTGCCAGCAAGCATACTTGTATCTGCTCCTTTATGCCGCCCTTCTTTTTATCACCGATGAGATCTGTGAAACCTGTCATCTTTCTTTGTGACTTACAAGATAGACTTTTCCAGGGTATGTCAGCTGTTCTGAAGACAATGTTGTTAAGTATCAGATTTGGCAGATCAGATAGATAATGATGTGCCTTGGAAAGACTGGGCTATTGATGAGCCTCGTGTCAAAACTGATTGCCATATAAGGGCAATTTTTCCCTTTCACTGTTTCCCTGGTTTCAATTTCTGTGAGGATTTTTATGTCAAGGGGCAGTTTTGATTCCACATCAAAATTGTGCTGTAGCAACTGTGTCCTATTCTGCGTTCACACGGCTGTATCTCTAACTGCTAATCTTTCTGTGGTCTCTCTGAAGGTGAGCTTTAGAGTAATGAGCACTTGAGGAACACATTGCCATTTAAAAATAATCCTTTCCGATTACTGTTCTGAAAACAATAAATTCACTTAGTACTACTATGCTTCTATCAGATTGTTTCTTTCGCAAGATTGCTTTCTCTTTGGGAAATACTTTTTGAGGAAACTTGTACAGAACGTGACCATGGTCTGATTCCTTATAATGAGCAATTGAGTAGACAAAGGAAAGAAAGAACCCAAGTGTTAAGTCTGTTTGTTTTAGAAGAAAAGTTTCTGAAATGCATTCCCTGGGTGTTTCTGCCATTGAATGAAACTCTTTTCTGTTCCCTTCATAGTCATCACATGTCACTCCTAGATCTTCTGGGAACGTCTGCTCCACCAAAGTATGACAGTGGCAGTTCTGTTTTGAAACAGTTCTTCTGCTTATAAAAAAGCTTGAGATTTCCCAGCAAGACATGATGGAAGACAAAGTGCTGCCCCGTCACCTTAGGTCTGGCTGGGCTTGGATGCTTGCAGACTGACACCTTTAAGACAAAGCTTAAAGATGTGTATAAAGACGAATCCTTGTGGAATTTTCAGTGCCCCAGACCCTAGTGTATGCCTGTCCAAGGGAAAGCAGGGCAGTGCATGTTGAAGCAAATCTTTCTAGAATTCATGTAAAATTCATACTTAAAGTCAGGTTCAGCTTTTTTCCCAGAAATCGGTGAGTTTTAAATGTTTGATATTTTCATT